CAGTGGCAGTGGCAGTGGCAGTGGCAGTGGTAGTGGCAGTGGCAGTGGCAGTGGTTGTGGTAGTGGCAGTGGCAGTGGTAGTGGCAGTGGCAGTGGCAGTGGCAGTGGTAGTGGCAGTGGCAGTGGCAGTGGTAGTGGCAGTGGCAGTGGTAGTGGTAGTGGCAGTGGCAGTGGTAGTGGCAGTGGTAGTGGTAGTGGTAGTGGCAGTGGTAGTGGCAGTGGCAGTGGCAGTGGTAGTGGCAGTGGTAGTGGTAGTGGTAGTGGTAGTGGCAGTGGTAGTGGTAGTGGTAGTGGCAGTGGTAGTGGCAGTGGTAGTGGTATGTGCAACAAAGATGGTTCTAGTGATCCTGACATCCGGGTGCCATTTCCAAGCCATTACGGCCTACGACTGAATTCACGACTCTTATCTTCGCTTAACAGTGAGAGCTTCAATTGATACGCAAATTAAATCAGGGTAATGGATGTAGGCTAATGGACTAGCATAACATAAACTAAAATAACCGGTGCAGGTGCACGTGCAGTAATCAGATTACACCGCGGCACGTTCCCCAACTCTGTGTAATGTGACCTTTCAACACGAGATAAATCATACCCCAAAATATACATCTAATTTTGTGTTATATCCCAGTTATCAAAACGTCCCCGATAGCCAATAAGTAAATAAGGCAAAGTATTTAAAAACGTTGACTGATGAAATAAACAACATGTCTCTTTGAAATCACTGACTACAAATGTGTTGGACAGATTGATAAAAAAAAACCATTTGTTTATTTATTTCGGAGTATGAAACAATATTCATAGTTTCCACGGAACTTACAAACAACAACAAACAATATGCATTTTTTATCGTTTATTTCTTATGAGATATGAACATTATGTACAGCCTCTGAAAGGATGATGATAAAATTACAAGCTGTGAAAATATTTACCAGGTATTTCAAAAAATGATGACTCCTAGAATCCGACCTCGGCAATGTTCTTCATTGTTCTTCAAATCGCAAGCTCATGTTCGAATTTCCAGAAATGACGTCTTGATACGTCATGTTTTATCGTGAAATAAACCACGCTTCGTTCTTCGTTGTTCTTTGCGATTTATCGCATGGGTTATCTTATATGTTTTAATAATAACTTCTACACAAAGTAACTTTAATCAGAAAGGAAGAACATTTATTATTACTTTTGGTTTACCAGCTTGACAAACTGCCAGCCGTTCTTTTCATCCTTTGATATAGGTGACAAGTTACTTTACATGTCAATTATAATGAGAAGGTTGTAAATCCAACAGCAACTATTTTCCCATAGGTTAAATTATCAGCGAATAAAACTACACGTGGACACCATTTAACTTACCCAAATCAATTATGTGTTGTGTACAAAATGTACAGTTTTTGTGCAAATTTCACAATTGGATGAATGCAAAGCTAAGCTTTTTTAGCCTTTCAAAACACTTGTATTTTGTGATTGTCACACGTTTGTGGCCGAGCATTGAAAAATTAAAGATATGAAAGACAAATAAAACTATGAATTCTTTAATTTCACATTAAAGTTCTCTTCTTCTTTTTTTTCTCCAAATGTTGATATGTAGAATATCACCAACGTGATTTGCCTACTTTTATCATCTAAACTGGGTGTTGTTACATGGTTTGAATATGAATATGTCGCAGGTACGATGCAGAACTATACGACTAGGGAAAACATATGCTGTACCCAAAAACTCGGTTAATTCTACGTTTGGGCTTGTTTATTTGTTTGTTTGTTTGTTTGTTTTTGTTTGTTTGTTTGTTTGATTGTTGTCCTGAGCCATAAAATGGATTGGTGCGCATGATGTCAGTCTCTAGATTGTCTGGTCCTGCCTCGATTATTTACAAACCACTGGTGCATTGCTGGGTGCGGCTTTAAACAACAAACAAACATTCAAATTCAACGTTAACGTCAATAAAACAGTAAAATACACATTGACTGTGATATTATCAAGAAATAACAGTAATCCGAATGTTTTTGTAGAATATATAATCTACCGGGAAAAGGAAATTATCACACCTCCAAATTTGTTTTGTTTTTTTTGTTGATAAACGCGGCTCTCTGCAATATTCCAGCTTTATGACGGCGGTCTCATATCAATAAGTATCTCACAGCAGGTCAGCCTAGTACCATTTGTATTTGTTTGGTGTATACTTTCTTTTGCCCGGCATTGTATTTCATAGTAAACTATGAATTCCGATTGTTTGACGATACCATTTGTTTGTTTGTTTGTTTGTTTGTTTGTTTGAGACTACATCATGTAGGTATCTCCTCCCACATCAATCTGCCACACTGTGACTTCACTGAAACACACACTCACTCACAGTTAAAAGTTTTGTTTGTTTGTTGTTTAACGCCGCACTCATCAATATTCCAGTTATATGACGGCGGTCTGTCAATAATCCAGCCTAGACCAGACAATCTAGTCATTGACAAATTGGGAAATTGGAATACGATGACATGCATCAACCAAGTTAGCGAGCCTGACCACACGATCCCGTTAGTCACCTTTTACAACAATCATGGGTTTCTGAAGATCAGTACGTCAAAATATCATGACAATAACAAGTGTTAATGATTTATCAAAATGTTTAATGATGTGTCAGTTGGTCTCTGAGGGGTTTGGACAGATTAACAATAAATAAGGAATGTCAAATATAACATTCATAAAAGATGCAATGAACATGACACTTGACTGACAAGCACGGAAACAACATGCGTACGACAAACGATTACACCTGTCTTCCACGCAGTGCGATGTGAACAGGCTCAATGCCTTTATACATGTACCTTGTTTACAAATATCACCGTCTGGCAAAACATCACTGTAAATAAAGGCGCCAAACCCTTTTCATAATCATAAGAAATATCTGCTAAAAGCAAAGCCCATTGCATTTTACCCACTGTATTATAAGAATATGTTTATGAATCACTGTCCAATAGTGACGATGCTATGTATTCGCGAAAAGATGAGCGTGTCCACCGGTGAAACCCGTGACAAACACACGCAAAGGCAAGTCAAGTGTTCACCTGAACAACACGTAGACACGGGGTACAAGTCAAAGAGGCAACTGCATCTGGTCACTGATGAGCCAAATTTGAAAATATCCTCCCCATGCCCATTATAGGTGAGGTGAGGTGAATGGGGTTTAACGTCGTGTCCAAGATTATTGCACTTATATAGCGACGTGCATGCACGTGTATGTGTGTGTGTGGCTGCTTGTACTAGTCCGGACTGATGCCGATTTATAGTGCTAGCTCACTGAGATACCATGCCGCAGTTTAACATGAATACCCCATTCAGACACAGTATACTGACTCCGAGCCGACCAGTCCTTGTTTTAGCCCCTTAATGCCGAGCGCCAGACAGGGTAACAACAAGTACAATCTTTTAACGTCTTTTTGTATGACGCGGCTGGGGATCGAACCCTGGACCTTCCGCTCTCCGGGCGGACGCTCTACCACTAGACCACGGAGGCGGTCTCATGCCCATTATAAAACATTTTGACAGCTATACTAATGTGCACTGTGTTTATTACATTGTTCTGGATACAATGTGCTAAGCCTATTTCTGTAATCTCCCGCCGTGAGGTTGCTGGAATATTGCTAAAAGCAGCGTAAAACCTCACTCACTATGATGTTTTTCTGTTGTTTTTAAAACTAACAGGTGACAAAAGACATATAATATTGTTCGTGGCATATCTGAACTACGTTTATTAAGTGTGACGATGACTAACTATCACTCACTATGATGTTTTTCTGTTGTATTTAAAAGTCAACAGCTGGCAAAAAAAGACATATAATATTGTTTGTGGCATATCTGAACTACGTTTATTAAGTGTGACGATGACTATCTATCACTCACTATGATGTTTTTCTGTTGTTTTTAAAATAGACAGGTGACAAAAAGAACACATAATATTGTTCGTGGCATATCGGAACTAAGTTTATTAAGTGTGACGATGACTAACTATCACTCACTATGATGTTTTTCTGTTGTATTTAAAAATCAACAGCTGGCAAAAAAAAGACATATAATATGGTTCGTGGCATATCTGAATTACGTTTATTAAGTGTGACGATGACTATCTATCACTCGCTATGATGTTTTTCTGTTGTATTTAAAAGTCAACAGCTGGCAAAAAAAGACATATCATATGGTTCGTGGCATATCGGAACTAAGTTTATTAAGTGTGACGATGGCTATCTATCAGTGCAAACTAGGCGGAGCTATTTATGTGACATATTCATTATGTCTAGTCATGTTTATGTAAATGCATATCGATTATTCCCTACAGCGTTTTTATATGACGGTTACCTTTGATAATGAATATAACAGAATGTTTACTGGAAATATTATCGAACAAGTACATCATCATTACATGTAACAAAACGATAACGAGCTGGATAAAAAATATTAATTATGATATAATCGGTGCACAGAGGTCATGATACTTGTGTTTTTAGGATGGTAAATATAAATAAGCATTGTGTATTCAGCGAGTCTTGTCGAAATACCCACTAATTATATGATAATAACATTTGGGGGAATCTAAGTTCATCCAGTATTTTCAATATATAATTAATATTGATATATTGGAGAGAGGCATTGCAGAGAGCACCCCTTGGGTACGGCAGAAACCTAGGATCATGGGTTCGAATCCCGGTTCCTGATTATGTTTCTATGTTTGCCAGCACCATACCATTGCTCGTGGTAAACGTGTTAAACCTGCCTCACTTCGGGCTTTCCTCCCACATAAAGCTGACACCCAGTGATCTAACTGGAATAATATTCCAAGCGGCGTTAAGCCGAAGTCACTCCCACTTTAAGACCTGGGGTATATTGAGAGAAGGAGATGTATTTTTATCAAAACAGGGTGATAGCATTCCAGAGTGACGTCATGTCTGTCTCAAAGCTGTTACATTTCGCGGAGAGAGATAGGGCTTCAGAACATGACTGATGACGTTTGTACCGAACAATGTCGGTTACTCCCAAATGTCTGTGAGTGAGTTAAAATTTTAAGTCACATTGGCAATATTTCAACCATATCGTGACCAAATGTCTGTGCCGGGCTTCGAATACTCAAAAAAACTAATCTGAAAACACAGAGGAGCTACGAGGATTACGGATTATCTGAACCGCGTGAACGAATGGCGTTAATCCCGAGAGTTTTGATACAGTAAAATACGGTTATAACGAACACGCTTATAACGAACTGACGGATATAACGAACTTACTTTTTTGGTCATGACTATTTGCTGTATTTATGCTGCATATATGTTTATAACGAACTACGGTTATAACGAACTAGAAGTAGTAGTCCCTTTGAGTTCGTTATAACCGTAGTTTACTGTACCTGGCTGGTGCTTATCAAAGATCCAATTATATATTATTTCCTAGCTATTTTTCGTTTTACGCCCAATGTGATTGACGTTATTCCTGGAGTTAACGTCATCTCTGGCGTTGACGTCATACTATTGAAAATTGAAAGAACTGTTGTTAAATTTGATTATGTCTATTTAACAATCACACATTTCTGCAACAGTTTGTGAAAAGTAATCTGTGGCTTGGTCATTGTGTTTAAACATACATTGGTTCAATTAAGACTGGGATAAGCAATGAATTTGCGACCGCATGACCCCTACCAAGTTTGAAATGTTGTAAATGTTTGCTGAAAAGGCAAAGCTATTGTTTTTTTCAAAGATGGGAGGTCTAAGATACCATTAGTAGTTGAATATTATTCTTGACTTTTTTTTATTTTCAAAAGTTTTAAAATCAAATAATATTTTTTTGAAATAAAACCATGTAGAAGTAGATCTATTCCTCTAGTGCTAAATGCAGTTTCTTTTGTGAATGTAATACTCTCATTTAAGACTGAAAATCAGACATGAGATAACACCAAATGAGATGGATAATTTCGCTTGCTCTTCAGTTTCTCATATTTCAAAGCTCCAAAGCTATACAACCCAAAGCTATACAACCCAAAGCTGTACAACCCAAAGCTATACAACCCAAAGCTATACAACCCAAAGCTGTACAACCCAAAGCTGTACAACCCAAAGCTATACAACCCAAAGCTATACAACCCAAAGCTGTACAACCCAAAGCTGTACAACCCAAAGCTATACAACCCAAAGCTGTACAACCCAAAGCTATACAACCCAAAGCTATACAACCCAAAGCTGTACAACCCAAAGCTGTACAACCCAAAGCTATACAACCCAAAGCTATACAACCCAAAGCTGTACAACCTAAAGCTGTACAACCCAAAGCTATACAACCCAAAGCTATACAACCCAAAGCTGTACAACCCAAAGCTGTACAACCCAAAGCTGTACAACCCAAAGCTATACAACCCAAAGCTATACAACCCAAAGCTGTACAACCCAAAGCTATACAACCCAAAGCTGTACAACCCAAAGCTGTACAACCCAAAGCTATACAACCCAAAGCTATACAACCCAAAGCTGTACAACCCAAAGCTGTACAACCCAAAGCTGTACGCATGCGACACCTGGTGTCATCATCACTGATTGTCAGTGATACATTCATTTGACTTTTTATCGTTATTTTGCATTTTACGTCCAATGGAATCTGTTTCGTCAGATAATCGAGACTGGTTATTGTCTGTCGTTGGCGTTATATATTCCTATACCTGATAATGCGCTTACGAGTCACATGCCATCCCCAGTCATAATATCATCGTTCTGAAAAGCAAACCAGAAAAAAGGACATAACGCGCATATGATATCATCCCTTTACCTGTGTGTGGCGTTTGCACCAGTTTAACATGACTCTAAATTACACGCTTGAAATTCTCATCGACCATAAGCGCCATCTGGCCAGCTTGTTGTTTTCATAACAGCATATAAATGTCATGTTCATTTCATTAAAAAATGAAAGACAGTGAAATTAACTTGTCGACAGCTGGTCCTGTCTCACGTCCTAGAACCTATTGTACCGACAAACCGTATGTGGACTAGCGTTTTATTATCTATCTCTATCTCCCAACGACATTAATTAATTTTTGCGCTTGTTCCCGTACATAATGGAATATTTGCATTCAACGTAAAAACGTCATACGTATAAATATATAATACACGTGATGTCAATGGAATATTGTCCCACATCAAGACATATACACTACAGTATTGTTTAAAACCGAATTATCGCTCCACGAACTTCGTTAATGGGATGAAATTTATTATACAAAGAGTTTGACGAACCTAACAACCGAGTCCCATCTGCATTTGATGTCACGTCAGGCTTTGAACTACCTCTACGAACGCCATGAACTATGTCATGTCCGACAATGTACGCACAATGTATGCAGTCATGAACCACGCCACGTCAGTCATGGACCACGGCAGGTCAGTCATGAACCACGCCACGTCAGTCATGAACCACGGTCAGTCATGAACCAAGGACGGTCAGTCATGAACCACGGCAGGTTAGTCATGAACCACGGTCATGAACCAAGGACGGTCAGTCATGAACCACGGCTGGTCAGTCATGAACCACGGACGGTCAGTCATGAACCACGGCACGTCAGTCATGAACCACGGCAGGTCAGTCATGAACCACGGCACGTCAGTCATGAACTACGGCACGTCAGTCATGAACCACGGCTGGTCAGTCATGAACCACGGCTGGTCAGTAATGAACCACGGTTGGTCAGTCATTAACCGCGGCAGGTCAGCCATGGACCACGGTCAGTCATGAACTACGGCTGGTCAGTCATTAACCGCGGCAGGTCAATCATGAACCACGGCTGGTCAGTCATGGACCACGGCAGGTCAGTCATGAACCACGGCTGGTCAGTCATGGACCACGGCAGGTCAGTCATGAACCACGGCAGGTCAGTCATGAACCACGGCAGGTCAGTCATGAACCACGGCTGGTCAGTCATGGACCACGGCAGGTCAGTCATGAACCACGCCACGTCAGTCATGAACCACGGCTGGTCAGTCATGAACCACGACAGGTCAGCCATGAACCACGGCTGGTCAGTCATTAACCGCGGCAGGTCAATCATGAACCACGGCTGGTCAATCATGGACCACGGCAGGTCAGTCATGAACCACGGCAGGTCAGTCATGAACCACGGCAGGTCAGTCATGAACCACGACAGGTCAGCCATGAACCACGGCAGGTCAGTCATGAACCACGGCTGGTCAGTCATTAACCGCGGCAGGTCAATCATGAACCACGGCTGGTCAGTCATGGACCACGGCAGGTCAGTCATGAACCACGGCAGGTCAGTCATGAACCACGGCAGGTCAGTCATGAACCACGACAGGTCAGCCATGAACCACGGCAGGTCAGTCATGAACCACGGCAGGTCAGTCATTAACCGCGGCAGGTCAGTCATTAACCGCGGCAGGTCAATCATGAACCACGGCAGGCTAGTCATGAACCACGGCAGGTCAGTCATGAACCACGGCTGGTCAGTCATTAACCGCGGCAGGTCAATCATGAACCACGGCTGGTCAGCCATGGACCACGGTCAGTCATGAACCACGACACGTCAAGTCATGGACCAATCAAGGTCAGTCATGAACCTCGGCAGGTTAGTCATGAACCAAGGACGGTCAGTCATGAACCGCGGCAATTCGGATCACCGAAGACGAGGGTTCTATTCCCGACATCGGCGCAAAACGTCAACAAATCTAAGGCTCCCTCACCATGATATAGCTGGAATGTTGCGAAAACCAACGAGCACTCACTTCACTCACTCACTCACTTTAACGATACACACAACACCGTCTCACTTTATATACTGAACACAAAATGTTAGGGATCATAAATCGTTGCGTTCTTTCAAAGGGATTGATTGCAGCAAGTACATGTTCTTCTTGCGCTGGTAGGGATGTATACATGGAGCAGGCAACATAAAAACAGGTGTGTATAGTGAACGAAACAGGTGTTCGGGTGGGCATACCGTCATTTCCCATGGCCAAATTTATGTATCATTTTCAGGTCAATTGATGTGGCTGTTTGTAATCTGATGTCTTATTATGTTCGTTTATATATCAGAGAAGTATTTTGAAGTACCGATACTCAGCGCGAACAATACTTCCGGTGTGGCATGGCGTGGCGTGAGTGAGAATGATTTAAGGCCACTTTTAACAATATTCCACTAAGCCATACTCCACCTTTTTTACAGCGGACGTAAATAATCAAGTCTGGACCAGATAATCCAGTGATTGATATAATGAGCATCCATCTTCAAAATTGGGATACGGTGACATGCATCAACCAAGTCAGAGAGCCTCACAACCGATCCCGTTAGTCCTTCTTACGGCAAGCATTGGTTAATGAATAATAAACGAGGAGAATAATCAGCCGGTTCCTAACATTGCGATAATATGACAATAGGCACACATAGTCCTTCTTTTTGACCATCGCCATAACTAATGAGCGTCGCGTGTTCTCACCAACGTGACCTACTTAATAATCTTGCAATGTGACCTACTTCTGATAATATATATTCAGGTAGACACAGCTACTGGCTACAAGCACAGCGTGTCTCATAGAGTAAGATAACACCCGCGCAACAAATTAGTTTATCATGAATCCATGAGGATGTATTAATACAATTGTACTGCCTCGTGACAGCTGGAAATAATTACTCCATTGAAAGCTCAGGTAATATTGAAATCAAGCGGGATTTTCCATAATTAAGTCCCCGCAACCAATAATGATAGGGTTCTTTATTAAAAAAAATCAAATTAAATTTTGCTTGGGGGTATTATTTCATATTTATATGCATTACTTTAATAAGCATATGACCCAACTGACCCAGTCCTTGAACCTTGAAGTCCATCGTATTTGACGATTTAGTAAATCAATAGAACATTTCGATTTCGATTTGGGCGTGTTTGTACGGTTACACGGCAATTAAAGCGTTAGGGTATTAGTTTGAATTGATGTTTCGTTGATGGGATAATGCGATGCGCAATATATTCTAGAGTCGATGTTCGTAACTTGTAGAAAGCACGTTGAAAACAACAGTCATCCAGTGGTGGCTAATATCAGCATATCAAGGCCCTGAAAATGTTTTCTGACTTCTTCGAATATAATTAGCAATGTAAAGAATGTCAATACACTAGGCCTTTACGATACAAAGCATATCGCGTTGCATCAAGATATAACATGACATTTTTAATGTATCCCCTTTTCGATGCCTTCTCGTTAAATAATAAGAACATCTTTTTCGTCGTTTATCATCGTAATTAGCGAAATTAAAATACATATTGCATGAATGAAGGGGGCGTGCGAGGCCAAGCCAACTAAATCTCTGTACAGAGTTGCGTCCCTTAGGAATGCCAGAATCCGATATTCAAATACCAGATTCGTCATGATAATGTTTGTAGATTTGTCATCACCGTGACCCAGCTGGTGGCATTCAACCATCAAACGTCTAAGACTGCATTAAGGTGTCTCTCCTCCCATATCATTCTGCCACGGCGTGACATCACAGAAACACTCACTCACCTACAGTTAGAAGTTTTGTTTGTTTGTTGTTTAACACCGTACTCAGCAATATTCAAGCTATATGACGGCGGTCTTTAAATAATCGAGTCTGGACCAGATAATCCAGTGACTGACACCATGAGCATCAATCCACGCAATTGGGATACGATGACATGCATCAACCAAGTCAGAGAGCCTGACCACCTAATCCCGTTAGTCGCCTCTCACGACAAGCATAGTCGCCTTTTACGGCATGCAAAGGAAGTCTTTCGCCATCTTACTTCACCTCTTTGCATTTTCCCGGCGATATATGAGCTTTTCATACCTATAAATCAAGAGAAAGTTAATAACTAGACTATATAAATAAGCACGAGGAGCACCACTTCCTGACCTGGTATTGCGTTATGTAAGAATCTTGAGAATCTACTGTAAACTCAAAATACACAAGCATGATTTGGTCATGCAAGCTATAATAATATCCTTGATTATGAATACAGGAAACGGGTATATAAACTCTAAATATTCAACCAGTTATCTATACCGTTGAGTGAGTGAGTATGGTTTTACGCCGCTTTTAGCAATATTCCAGCAATATCACGGCGGGGGACACCAGAAATGGGCTTCACACATTGTACCCATGTCGGGAATCGAACCCGGGTCTTCGGCGTGACGAGCGAACGCTTTAACCACTAGGCTACCCGACCGCCCCCTATACCGTTGAAGGTCAGTACCCTCAAAATATGTTTTTAATAAGAATGGTTATTGTCGTGACACCGCCTTTGTGTTTAGTTCACGTCGTGAGCGACACGTGGCATTCGTATGACATAACAACAGGTGGAGATCGCATATTGACAGCTGCTCTCACGTACAGTGACGGTGGGCATGTGATTGATTAGGAAATATACAAATCACCAAGTCAGTTAATACTCAATTGCGTGCATGCCTGCAGTTGAGAATATTGCACAACTAATTTTGTAGTTTTTCCCCATAGTTTCGTAAAGCTAGTTTATGACCTACAAAGGCAGGTGTTTTTTAATGTTGTACATTCATTTAACTG